GTTGGGCAAGGCCGTGGTCTAGGCAACACGGAGTTTTCCTCCGTGGCATCCCAACAATTACTCCATTCACACACAGAAGAAGGCAATGACAAACCACTTCTGGATCATCTGCCAAGAACGTATATGTACAGGTCCCAGTCCGAGAAAAGGATGGAAGGATCCTGTTCATATGGACCTGTCATCAGACAGAACACTAAATAAAAATAAAATAAATAAAATGCGTCTTCACGACCTGGTTGTATACAATTACATTATATAATTACCATCAGATTCCCACAAATTCCACTCTGCGATCTCCGATTAGACACATTATCGCTTACGTACCCCAGGCATTTCGCCAGTCTGCGTATTCATACAACGGTGTATTCTAGCGCGTCATATTTTTAAGGATCAACAGACAGTGTTTCACATATGACTGCCATACATTTATCTACCGTCTTCTTAGTTAAACAGCGTTTTCACTGCCGTGTTCTATGACATCCGGTGTCCACGTCGGTAATATCATCTCGTCTGCAGAGACTCCCCAAATGCCTCAAAGAGTCCCGGTCGTTGTTATTCCACTGTCATTGAGGTTCATTGTAGTTATTCAGACGGTCAAGAAATGCCTCGTCTTTGATGTAACCCGGAGTTTCATCACCTTGTTTGCAAGCAACCACCAGTCATGCCTCATAAACTAGACGAATTCGCTTGATATTCCCATACCCTATTTCTGTAAATAAAATGTAATATTATCCTTCCATCCGACCACTTGTCATCTACCTTGTGTCTTTAAACCGATCTCTTCCCTTCTGATAAGTTAATACGTACCTACCTTTCTATTTTCATAACATACGATTTACCTGTATGACTCCTCCACCGGACCCACCAGTGCAAGCCAGAAATTCTTTTGGTAAGTCCAGCAGTTTCGCCAACCAATCCATCATGATCACTTCTAATTCCGTGCACGCTGGACTCGCAGCCTGCAATGATTGTTTTTCATAATCATTATTAATCCACTGTAGCCCCTACTTTATGTTCGTGAAGGTAAACCGAAGACGTTTCTGTTCTGGTGTTATAATGGGAGAATTTTCTTTGAACCTTATCCCCTATCGAAACAGTAAACAGCGTTGGGAAAAAGTTCTCGCGTTGTCGGTCAGCAATAGATTTTTAACTTCAAAAAATGAACAGCAATAGGAATGAAATATTAAAATCTCGAAGGACTTATTTGGAAAGCCAGTGTAATCCAAACTCAAGCACTACTCTTCACTTTGTTGTTTCTTTACCTTTTCGGGCGTTTAGATTTATTTTTGAATACTTTTAACATGTCGTCACATAAGCGTGATACAGTTTCGATGCAGTGACGGACTCACCCAATTGAATCCCAGACATGCAATTCCTGTGTTGAGGATTTCTCCCACAATAGCAGGGTAAGAATTGGCTGCCGGGAAGTAAGCGTGGAAATGTGGTGACTGCCAGTGTGTGATCTGCAAGATAAATGCGTTTACGATATTAGTATTTGTCACCTGGCACTGGCTGTTCAAAGCGGCCTCCGGTTCCATCGACCTTAATAGTGTTCAAGGTCATTTAAACCGAAGGACTCATATTCGGAAGGAGGATTACGTAAAATGGGTTTCTGATTATCGTTTACAGTGTTGGTTTTATATGCTGTACTAATTACTTCACAGAACCGTTAATTATTAACACAGTGTTAAAATAAGAAAATTTCAGGGAAGATCTTGTGATATCAGTCTACGTTATGAAGGTAGAAGAAGCTATTAAATAAACTTGAAAGAATTAGTACGTCATTTATATGCAATATTTTTGGTAGTACAGATCCTAATTACGTTAGCATTGTCAGGTGTAATCTTCGCACAGTTCACCATGTTTATATGCCTCAACACATAATGAGGCTGTGATTTCAGGTTCTTAAGGCAACGACTTTGAAGATAATTGCCTTCTGGAATGTTGCGCCGTGTATTCTAGCATAAATTTTCTGACTTTTTAGAGGTAATTTCTACCTCCATCATCAGGTAAAATGGTGTAAAATAGGAGGACCTGTATCCGTCCGTCCATATAGTTAATATCAGAATTATTTAATGTTTTCCGATAAGATTTAGTAATGACGGGCCTGCATTATACGTTAGCAGATGTCTTTATTTTTTTATCTTTTGTTCTTATTGGTTCAATGTAGCCTTGTTTTACGTGAGGCCAAAATAGAACTTTTATTCCTTCTAAAAAAGCTCATTTCTAAATAATTGTAACCAGTCTCATGTGGTTATAGTAGCCGTCACAGAATTGTATAATTCGAAGTCAACGAAATCGTTCACTATTGCAACATGAACAATGGTGATCAGGCGAGTGAAAAGGAAGGAAATATCACCAAGCTGTGCTGATGACGTACAGACGCTCAGTAAGAGGGACGAAGTCATTCCGTGGCCTTGAAGCATGCAATTTGGTGACGTCTTCTATAGATGACACAACTAAGAAAGAATCTCCAAAGTTAGATGTACATACCCCTGGCATGATGACACGTTCCATGTCGGCGAGAATGTCCTGCCACTTCTCTGGCTGCTCTGGCGCGTCCCCCGGGATAAGTTTTTGTAGGTAGCCGGGCTCCACTGACGGTAGAACCGGTCTGGAACATTACGTAGACGTTTTAAACCATGCAGAAAACATCATGTGAACAAGTCCCTGCTTAAACCGGCTTTCCACAGGACTTTAAAAGTATCGGAATTTGCGCAGAACAAGATTGTCCCTTGGCGATTTGCGGCACTGAAGACTGATATTAAGTGCCTGAGTGGAAAAGCGTACGAAAAAAAAGACTGGCGTCGGAGGTGTTTAAAATGGGTGATAGGTGCAAAGACGATATTGTAATATTAATGCTTATTATAAGTTCAGATATAAAGGAAGTCTTTACCACCAAACTTGATGATTAATGATACGCCTTTTAAGGAACGTAAATGCCACGTGAGAAGTTTCGTAGTGCATATAAGGCTAGAGAGACAGAAATGATGTTCATCTTAAAGAGCCGGTCAATCACCAGTTTCCAAGTTTCGACATCAGCGATCTCTGGTGTCCACAGCAGCGGGAGACAGCTGACAGGCGCAAGTGACTCATCACAAAGGCCGCTGTGAGGATTCGAACTTGGGATAATGTAGGTCGCGGTCGAACGGTCAAAACTTCTTTATGTTCTGAAGACACTGAGTTCAAATACAAGCACGGAGACCGTCTACCCTGACTAAAGGTTTTCGTGTTTATTTTTTCAGTGTCTCTAGGAAAGTACCAAATATTAAGCAATGACCGCTTCCTCTCGCATTCCTTCTGATTCATCTTTCACTAATCAACCTATTAATTAACTATATAATTTGGCTTATTAATGACATCGTTAAATAAACTACTAATGAAATATAAACAAGAATTGGGAGAGTGTCTGAATAATATAATGAAATATGTAACATCGGTCTTATTCTACTTGTTTACGTATTTACTTCATAACTGTCTTCTCATCTAATCTAATAGCCATAAGATGTGAAGTTAAAACAGTGCCGATAAATAATCCACAATTTAACATATAGGATTGATTATAACTACCCGGAGGATGGAGGATGAATTAATCCATCTTTGGTTGTCTGTCCGTAAGAATTGCTTGAAGTCAGTATGACTTAATTTCCTTTTACTGAACACCCCTACAGTCGAAGTAGCGTCTTCAAACAACCTGACACTATAAATCCTGTAATAAAAATTATAATCATTTATCCTGAATGAGATTATTTTAGTTTTCTTCATCTTCTTCGGGAAAATGGCTTAGTACCTTAAGTCATATCACAACCGTTTCCTTCCCCATTCTTACCATTTATCATTCACTAACGATCCTATCATTTGACGCCATATGTGGCTTAAGAAGGGGGTTATAACTCACCTGTCACGAATGTTTTCTATGTAGTCAGCCACGAAATCAACAGCAGCCCTGGCGAATTTGCGAAATTCGGTGACGTCCATGTTGCAGAATGCAAGCCGCTGCTCTGAGATGTCGTCGTCTTCAGAACAAGTGTCAGCTGTCTCGTCCTTAAGCTCGCACTGCGTTGTTTCTGTCGGTGGGAATTATAACAATAGATGAGAGGCAACAGAGAAATTAACCAAAGGATACGAGCTTTTGTATGCCGTCATTTAGAAAGTTAGTCATTATATTACAATTGAAGCTGTTTAAATTTAACAGTAGACTGGCGACGTGTAATCGGGTTGGAAATAACAAGAAGATAGACAGTAAAAATGTAGTTCAGAAGACAAAAGAAATAATTGGTAGTGGTATGGGGGGATGTGAAAAAAAGTTAGAATGTGACTGAATGGTAACCTATAATTGAAAAGATTATTTCTACGATACTGACTGTTATCCAACTGTATTTCTTATAAGAGAGAGTTGATAATTATTATGATAAGAAAGCAATAATTTTAAAAAGAATCTGTTTTATACAATTTACTGCCCCAGGATTAGCCTGGAGAAGCCGAAGGAAATAACAGAAACCTGCCTTTCCAACTGATATTCGAATCTGATATATCCCGTAAACAAATCGAGTTGACAATTTTCCAGTAGATAAGTCGAGATTCAGAATGTTTAAACAGAGGATGGGCATGGCCACCGGAAAAGATGTTCATTCACTTTTCTCCTCTTTGTGCGTAACTGTAGTGGCGTCTGTCAAACATGGTAATAAACCTTCGTGTTCGATAAAGAACGGGGAATGTTTTGACCAGCTGGTTGACTGTAAGCTTCTGAACAAACGTTGCCGCCTAGTGGTTGTCAGTTCTTCATATTACAAACGTCCCTTTTTCTAATATCGACCGGCTGTCTTAATTTAAGTTTTTTTTCGATTTTACTCAGTCCCTCCAGGGAAATTGTGCGGTATTTTAAATTACCACTTCCTTCCGTATTAATCTTTACTCATTATTTATTAGTCAACTTATTATTCTACGATATATAGGCTGAGCTACTAAGTAGTAAGTCATGAATAAATAAAATATGTTGTTCCACAGGGTTATACAGAACTGTGATGTAAGGTACAAACCAGATTTCGACTGCGTTCAGGGAAGAATTATAACTCGCCATTCCAGACTTCAGCAGTTCTTCACTGTTATATACAAACTTTAGGGGGTGACGGAAGGCTCGCTTCATTTAAATTATGTGATTTCATGGCGCACTGCCGCAGGCGTAAGAAAGTGTCCTGGCCACTACTCTCGCTTTCACCTTAAATGACGTAAAAGGAAAGCAGCCTGAAGAGATATTCTGGTACTCGCGTACTGAAAGCTACGCACACGTGTGAGGTTGCTGGTAAAAAAGTTAACTTTACAGTTAATCTCTCGAAATATACGTGGTGATGAATGATCAATTGAATAAATTATTTAAATAATTATTATATTTGTTTACCGTCAAATCACAATAAAATAGTAAGATAAGATAATTAAAATGTAAGACTTGAGGTTCTCACAGCGGTGAGTATGAAGATATCCGTCTTCTGGGTTATTGCGCTGTGTAGTCTGGTCGATGTTTTGGATATCCGAACTCAACCATTTTCAGTCCCTATGGGACCCAAAAAATCCACACAGGGCAATTTGTTACGATAATCAGCGTCAAAATTCTCAAACAGCGGGCACAGCTACAGCGAACAAAGTACGAGAGGAAAAATCTTCTTGACTCTGCGTTCGGAGAACAGCGCGAACATTACCACAACGTTGCACTTTTTACAACTTCGTCGTTGTCAGACATGAATCCGAAGGAAGTCATTTCAAGGGTTTGGCGGTGATGTACAGGTCTTTACTGCCACTCCCCAGCCACTCCTCTGTTAGGGATTGCGTTCTCTAGACACTCACTACCGTCTCCTAAGGCCAAGATGCCTCGATCTTTTGTTAATCCGACTTCTGCATTTTTCTTTATTTTGTTTCATTTTCAACACTACTATCTCTCTCCCTTTCTTTAGGCGTTCTTTATCCTGACTAGCATTTGTCTCCTTCAATCTTCCTGATTCTTCTTACAGAAAACCGACATTTATATCCTCCATCACTTAAACAAACACAAAAGTTAATTATATTTTAAATGTTTCGTTGCCACAACTTCACCAAACTTCGTTGACAAAATTCGAATTTACAAATATTTTTGGGCATTTCTCTATTTAAATGCGGGAATTCAGTCCGTACCGCAAAGAAAACACAACACTTCACCATTACGAAAATCAGCTGGTTAACGTAGTTTAAAATAATTATTATATTTGTTTACTGTCAAATCACAATAAAATAGTAAGATAAGATAATTAAAATGATTAAAATATCATCTTATGTTCCATATCGAGCATTCGATTTACATCGGAACATTCACAACATGTTTCGGTTTATCAAACCGTCATCAGGTGTAAATTATAAACTTTTAAACTCAAATTACAATTATTTATAGTTTTTACAATTTTATAATTTTATCATCTTTCTCAGTATATTTTATGGAAGTTGTGTCTAGATATTATTAATATAACATTATTGTTGAGGTGGTGTTATTGATGTTTATACCAGTCTGTGAAGTAAGAGATTCGAAAACATTAATGAAATATGATTGAATATAGAAAACAAAACAATCTCATGAACAAATTATCTCATATAGCATGTCTTCTTCGGAAACTAATACCCCTTCAGATAGTCATGATATTCTTCGCCATTTATGGTAACATGTTGTGTTCATAACAGCCCACCATTTAGATCTATACTAGGCGAGATTTATCCATTTAACATTCTCATATACTATACTAAGGCGCCACAACCAAGATAACAATGCTTCTTTACCTCTGTTAGAACATCAGATCTCACAAATTCAAATTAACTTACCAGATTTTGTTTTTCTTCTTATTCTTCACTTCACTGATTGATAAAGTAGATCAACAAATTGTACATTCATGCCACTCGATTATTACAAGCAACAACAATTAAGCCTATTCAATTTTTTGTAATTTAAATTATTTTCTCCGGTTTGTAGAGTAGATTATATTATTAAGTTGTAGATCTGTGCTTATAAACTACAAGCCTAAGCCGTGATAACATATTTGCTTACATGAACCTCATTGCCTCACTTCTTAACTACAACTGGTGAATTTGTGATAGACGCCCCTTCCTACTGGAAGTGACATAACTTAGTCTGCGGTTGGGTTGTGTCATAAAAATAATTGTTAATGCCTTCTGGGAATGTGTAAGTGGTACTTGTAATAATAAATGAACAAATAAAGAAATTAACAAGAAATTAAGACGAGGGGAAAGTGAGAGAGAAATGAAAAGACAAAAAAGTACCATGAACCACTATCACTTCGAAGAATAGTTCAGGGGTTCTCAAAGTTTTAAAGGCGGGATTGTCTGTAACTGATTAACATGGTTCCATGTATGGTTTTACTTCAAAGATTCATAATTGTTACAAAAGGCCAAAGAGGTATCTGCTTTACAGAAATTCTAAGATTATTGACCATGTTGACAAATTTCGACTATTCGACCGCCCATATAATTTATCCCTCTGTTTTTTCTGATGTATCTGTTTTATTTTTATTTCTGGGTTTGTATGCGCAATATTACCCATCACATGGACGAGTATAATTCTTTTTTGAAGTTGCATTTTTGCGATTAGAGAAATTTTTCTACTTAGAATATTTGAAATATGATCTTCGATACCGATATCACCCTACTGGTAAACATTCTTAAAGTTCGAATAATTGAGGACGGTTCCTTGCCAAAAATAATTTAAAATGAAACAGTGACTCCAAGTTCCTTCCATTTTATTTAACGAGTTTTATTAATTTTTTGTTAATTTAAGAGCTGTGATATAGCATTAAATTATAAAAAATGTGGCCAGTTGTACCAACATAAAATACATTAATATTTTATTTTTGTCATTTATGAGACCTATCCTAGAAAGTAGAACAGATTAAGTAACCCGTTACATTTTTATTACTTTATTATTATGTTGATTGGACATTAATTGCTAAATCATATGCGTGGTTCCAATACAAAATAATACCTATATCTTTATCACAAATCGTACTTAATACCTGTATTATCGTCCGTCTGTGTGGAAATCATTATCTGACTGACGAATTACATGATCTAACTTTCACTTGAGGTCGCTGAGTAGTTATTGTTTATTTTGTATGCGGAAGGTATTTTGTTTGAATGCAGATGTGAAGGACGTCTATCCTTATTGAAGTTATCCACAATACCCTATTAAAATTCAGGCGAACACTGGAATTGCATCTCACCGTTATCTATTTCTATCAGGCTTTATTTGACTCCCCATAACCTCTGCACTACGACGCAAAGTATTATCTAAACGCTTGTGCAGATCTTGTGATGAGTGATTGCTTCTTAATATTTTACCGACCGAGATATCGGTAATGCGAAAAATAGATGATTTTATATTTCCATTCACCGGAAGGATCTAAATTTAAATTCAGTAAATGTTTTACATCTCTATAGATTATTTTGATAAAATTATGAGACCAAGCCTATTTTTTATGAATAATTTTACAAACGTAAATTATAAATATAATTTTATGTTTACCGTCCATAATTTTACAACTACGTAATTTCCAATTAAAATATTAGATGTCGCGTTGTCTACCTATTTCCACATTCCCTGCATTCGAACGGTATCCTGTTCGAATCTCGACGGATTACCTGCTGGCCTGACCGACAATTTTCTGTCTGTCTTGGAGAACGCTGAGACGATACCTTCAAATAGTCTATAATCGTTTCCTTCCGAATACTTATATGCCAGGAAGTCTCTGAACTTGAAACAGTGTTGCTAAATAACCCAGAACGCAATATCCTACTTTCATGAATCCTCAAATTGTGCACCCCTCTGTTATAATTTGTTGATCTTGAGATGTTGCTTTATTAGGACAGATTTCTCTGTGATTTTTACGTATTCTTTTACTTTCTCTTTGTGTCTCTTTTCGGACTCAACCAAGAACCTGTTACTAAACCTAAATACATGCTAGACATGAAATACCAGATCAACGAATTTCAATAGCAGATCAAACAGGCTGTTACTTTATAAAAGGTTGCTTTCCATTTACGTTTGAAAATATCGAACGATTTGCGCTGATGTCATATTGACATAATAAAAGAGAAAGGTCCCTCATAAGTGTTTATGTTAAACTTGAGTGAAATTTACCATTTACAATATATTCATACGTGTCTTCAGACCGAACTCAATTTTAAGGCTCCTTAAATCGAAAAGAAGCCACGGTGGTCTAGCGGTTAGAACGCTGGCCTTGTAATCCTGGGGTCTCGGGTTTGATTC